TTACAGGATATACGAAAGCATCGAAACTGAGCTCTGCTGATCCCTCAACCGTTTGTAAAATTCTATTATCCACGACTTGAACAGTAGAAAATTCCTCGAGACTGTTCGGTACTTGGTGTATATAACTATCACTGCTTCGATCGAAACTAAGGTTGCCAAAACGTGCATTTGAACTAACCTCCGGTGCCACTTTTTCAATCTGGTTATTTAGTTTCTTCCGTTCTAATGTGCCCTTTAGCATGTTTACAACAGAAGAAATTTTATCTACATCATACATGTTTGGTGCATTGAACATTGATGCCGATGAATTGGATGTGGATACAAATTGAACAGGCTGGTTTGGAATCTCACAAGTAGAAGGGTCAATGAAATTCTGTGAATTTGTGATATCTAGTTTCATCGCGTTGGCTCCATGCCCTGACAAGTCATGCATGGACTCTATACCGAATGAGCTTTGATTGCTTTGCATTGCAGCATACCTCCTCCTTGATACCCATTAATAAATAAAGCATTGAAAAACAGACGAGTATAAGTTCATCCACATAATTGACACTTTACAATAGAGATGACATATAAGATTATAGAAAATGAAAAGGCATCCCTCTGTAAAAGTTTTCAGTATCATCATGGTGGAAGATTAATCCGCAGTAGAATGATTACCTTAGCTCAGATGATCGACTTCTTGTCATAGGTTGAGAACTGTGGAACCATGCCTGTACAAAATAGTGAGATATTAAAAAGTTGTGATGGTTTATTAGCTTAAGTTTTGAAGAGAGGCACAAACCTTCGCAAGATAAAGGTTACTACCTTGCCCTTCACCATCAACAACATCCCTAGAAGTTCAAAATGTCAAACGAATAAATCTTCCAACAGACAAAAGAGGGGTGCCAAAACTTTTATGTTTCTTTCATCTTTTACAATGTAAGCTAATATTGACATGCTCAACAAATTTGAGGTACAAGCGAACTCCATTTAGAGAACAATATTACCAATAGCACAAGAGCTGTGGCTCAAAAAATTGAAGAGCAAACCTGAAAGTTTGTTGATTAGCTCCTGCGACATCATCAGCCACGGAGGCACTTTGTGGATGCAATATATCATTGCTTATTCTCTTTTGATGTTTTGCCACATACTGAGGACTAGACAGTTCAACAGACTCCGAGGCAATTCTGCAAAATAATAATAGTAATAACAACATTAAATAAGGTGGAAGTACTGATAATATTTGAATACATAGTTTTCACGGTAATGAAGGCCAAATCTCTGAGCAAAGAGACTCTTGTAAAACTTTAAAACTTTAGCCGTGAGATCCCACCTCGGTTGGGGAGTAGAACAAAGCATCCTTTATAAAGGTGTGGAAACCTCTCCCTAGTAAACGTGTTTTAAAAACTTTGAGGTTGCCTGGAAGGGTAAGCCCAAAGAAGACAATATCTGCTAGCGGTGGGTTTGGACCATTACAAATGGTAAATTAGAGTCAGACATCGGATCATGTGTCAGCAAGGAGGCTGAGCCTCGAAGGGGGTGGACACAAGGTGGTGTGCCAGCAAGGACGCTAGGCCCCGAAGGGGGGTGGACTTGGGGGTCCCACATCAATTGGAGAAAGAACAAGTGCTATCGAGGACGTTGGGCCCCGAAGGGGTGAATTGTGAGATCCCACGTCGGTTAGGGAGGAGAACAAAATATTCTTTATAAGAGTATGTAAACCTCCTAGCAGACGCGTTTTAAAAACCTTGAGGGGAAACCTGGAAGGGAAAGCCCAAAAAGAACCATATATGCTATAAGAAATTCGAGAATCTCAAGAAACCGCAATAAACATACTAACCTTCTTGATGTCTGTCGAGTGCGATAAGCCAGGCCTGATGAGTTGTTAACATTCTGTAAGAAGAAATAGATCAACAAAGTTATTCAACCAAGTTACCAGAATATGAACGATTTAATGCGACTCGAGAAAAAAGAATCCATCAAGTCTCCATAAAATAATAATCTGTCCAGATTTTGTCTACGTTATATCAGATGCATTTCCATTACACTAGGAAGTATGAACATGAAGTCACATCAAGAATCAATTGGATAATAGCTCATTTTGGCTTTTCTGATACATGAAACATCACAAATATGATCTTGGAAATCAAGAGTTTGATCATTCATGCCCACTAGAGTATCTGATATTGTCTAATTCCTTAAAGACGCAAAAAAGTGTAGGTGTTGAAAGATCTTAATCAGAGCTTAGAATATCTGCAAAATAGGGATGAAAAATCAAACAAGTGGTTGTAAACAGAGAAGTCCCATCTTGATGACAAATCTTTTCTGGTAAGAAAAATTCAGCTATAGGGTTATAAATTTTTCATGGCACGTTTACGGTCACGTTAATGCTGCGGACCGTTCCATTTTCGGGATCCTCCATGAATCTTGACTTCAAAATACTAGTGAACACCATAAAACATCCAGGGAATTAACCAAAATCTTATCATTTCCATTGCCAGTCAATTGAACCCAGTAAAGCTTGATGAACCTAACTATAATTTTCAGCAGTTCTTGAACAAATTTATGCTATATGCTTTATTTTATCCACAATTAAAACAAAGCCAAAAAGGTAATACAGCTTCTTGCCTCTCCATTTGTTAACCAGCTTTTGAAGAGTTCCTCACTATTTGTACGAAAGCTCTGAGAAAAATTCTTAAATCCCATCATCTCCATGGTTGGTGTAGACATTCCGATTGCATTTTCCACCCAAGATTTAAGAAATAGCTCCTCACTTGCGTTTCTATATAGTTCTGAAACGCCCCTTCCTTCCATCTTTATGATGATACTTGCTCCAATGTTTGGATCATTTCGAGACAGAAAGATGCCTAAATTCTACACATAATGCTAAAAAAACAATCATTTGCAGAGGCTATCCTTTGAAATTCCCCAAACTCCACAAGAATCAAAACTCTCAATTAGAGATAGGCTACTCTGTTTGCTGTTGAAAACTCCAAAACTTCTCTCAAAATCTTGTACATAATTTAAGAAATCATGATTCCCACCAAGATGTTTCAAACTCTTTCTATCCAGAAGAATATCAGTACTTGAAGCTTGAAATCAAAGATCACAAACTCAAAAAAGGCCAGAAATTATGATTGAACAGATCTCCATAACAGTGATAAGGACATAAAACTTCTCTAAGCCTGTCAAACCACAACCATTGACCGTCCAAGCAATATCACAACCAGCTAGGCCGGTAAGAACTTTAGAACTAACAACAAACGTAATCAAAAAGTGTGTATCTAGGGTTGCTGCAAAAATGATATAATATTGCTCATTCAAAATTCTCCAGCAAATTGTAGGCACAGAGATATGATTTAAAAAGAATTGAGGCATCTATTAATATTAGGTTTTGTTGAGGATTCCAATGTCATAATCTGTCGTTTTACATATATTATAACACGAAATTTCTTCCTTATTGGGCGCAGTTGTGATTGCAAAGCTATATCCAATATTTAAGTCCTCGATTAACAAGCAGAGTGGACTTATTCGATCAATACAACAAAATAAGCAAAAAGTGTGATGAAAAAATTGAGAAATCTTACGAGATAGAGCCAGATCGTGATGGCGACGTGAAAAGGACCAATAGCAAGTATCTCTATGAAGCCGTTGGAATGGCGCTTTCATGATATTGCGTACGCTGCTGGAGAAGGCCTTTTGAGGGCCAGAAAACAAGCCGACCTGTTCGATCAACGAACGAATTATGCGGTTTCTGATTCGGATTCTTCACATCATCCTTCGATTGAGGTTTTGTTGCTGAATTGTTTATAGAAAATTTCAACATCAGCCTTCTATAAACAATTCAGTTGATGAGTTGAAGCATGGCGGCAATAGAAACTTTGAATAAAAACGGCTAAAAATTATATATTTTTATAAAATATTCTTTCAAAATTACAATTCAAATAAAACTAAAATATTGATGAACAATTGACTTGTGATGATGACTAATTTATTTTTCACACCGGTAGTTTTGAAAATTTAAAAAAATCAGTAATATTGCAATTTTTTAATTTTTATTTTTTTTTAATAATTATAAATTGATCGTAAAACTTTTAATTATTAAGATTGTATCTAAATAATTATAAATGGTAAATAAATAAAAATATTTTTTTTTAACCATCCAACAACCCAATGGAGAGTTGGTTAAGAAAATTCTCGGGTTGGGTCAAAAAAAAATCCTTCAACCTAACCCAACCTAAACCATGTACACCCCTACCCTTAACCTCAACCTAACCCAACTTGGACCATGTACACCCTTACCTTAATTTCGACCTAACCCAACCTGGACCATGTACACCTCTACCCTAACCTCAACCTAACCCAACTTGTACCATGTACACCCTTATCCTAAACTACCCCTACCCTAACTCAACTTGGACCATGTACACCCTTATCCTGAACTAACGATACCCTAACCTCAACCTAACCCAACCCAACTTGGACCATGTACACCCTTATCCTGAACTAACGATACCCTAACCTCAACCTAACCCAACCCAACTTGGACCATGTACACCCCTACCCTAACCCAACCTGGACCATGTACACCCTTATCCTGGACTAACGATACCCTAACCTCTACCTAACCCAATCTGGATCATGTACACCCTTACCCTAAACATGTCATTACCAATTGGATGAAAAATCTAACCGTTTTGTTTCTAATACCTTTCAACTTTAAAATTTTTCAAAAATACCCATAACATTTTAAAAGTGTTAAAAAAATACTCCTAAACTACGAGTTTTGTTTTGGTAATGCCCTAAACAGGTTTACCTTAAATTTTGGATGGAAAATCTTAGCCGTTCCAATTTCCAACAATATCTCTAAACTTTAAAAAAATTAAAAAATACTCCTAGATTTAAAAAAATGTTCAAAAATACAATTACATGTCAATCTTATTAGATATAAACCCGAAAGTTCATACATTTATTAGATATGGACCTCTGAGTCAAACTATAAAATGGAAGTCCTGAAATTCAACAAGAAATTCAGTTTATTGACACTAAACAGTTCTGTTTGGGACGGAGAAGAAATTAATCAAACAAAGCTATGAAATATACTCTGCCAATTTTTCTTTTCTCAGAATGCTCATTTGAAAATGTCATGGACAAAAAAGGAGTCCAAATTCCCGTGACCTCTAACATCTAGTAAGTAGAGACGTTTTGTTCAAAAACGATACTCGAAAAGCTGAGTAGCACATCATCGAGTTTCGATTTTCCACTTACCATGACTTTGCTGAATCAAGATTCTACAAGTGAATCATGTAAATCAAAAGCCTAGAGAACGGTTCATCGAAACACCCGAAACTAGTATATCTCGTCATCGGGGACGTCTGGTGTCAAGAATTTTCTGGGATCTTTACTAATTTCTTCATAATTTAACGTTGCCTTCACTCTTTCTGGCAGTTGCATGAGAGGTATAATGGTGTCTTTGTCGATCACTCCATCGATCAATCCATATTCTACAGCCTCTATGGGCGACATATAACGATCCCGATCGATATCTTTTTGGACCTTCTCAAATGGATGGCCAGTGTAGTTGGAGATAATTCTGATTATGTTGTTCTTGTTATGCATGATTTCACGTGCTTGAATTTCGACATCTATTGCTTGGCCACTCGTCCCTCCAAGAGGTTGATGAACCATGATACGTGCATTAGGCATTGCGAAACGCTTTCCTTTAGTGCCACCGCCGAGGATTATGGAAGCTGTTGAGGCTGCAATGCCCAGTGCAATTGTGGAGACATCAGCTCTCACAAGCTGTAAGACGTCGATGATAGCCATTGTAGCACTAATCAAAACAACATTAGTAGACAGAAATCAGTCGGTTAATGAACAGCAACCAAACAACAAATATTAACCTAAATTCCCAGCAGTCACATTGAAAGCTGAACGTCCTCCCAGCCTAAATCCCAAGACAGAAGAAGGAAAACAGAAGTATATATTAAAAAGCCTATTCAGTTGATATCTCGAGCATGTGATTGAATAATGTCAAGAGAATTCGTATACTTATAAAGATGACACTACCACTTCTAAAATCTTAAGTCCTGGGAGACGGGAAAAAAAAACTACTTTATGCCCTTAGTCTAATTTAGGAGATGACTAGTTTTGTAATAGCTCAAGCCCACCGCTAGCAGATATTGTCCTCTTTCGGATTTCCCTTTCGGAAGTGGTTTCCACACCCTTATAAAGAATACTTCGTTCTCCTCCCCAACTGATGTGGGATTTCACAATCCACCCCCTTCGGGGCCCAGCATCCTTGCTGGCACTCGTTCCCTTCTCCAACTGATGTGGGACCCCCAATCCACCCCCTTTGGGGCGTCCTTGCTGGCACACCGTCTTGTGTCCACCCCCCTTCAGGGCCCATTGTCATTGCTTGTACATTGCCCGATGTCTGGCTCTAATACCATTTGTAATAGTTCAAGCCCCTTGCTAGCAGATACTGTCCTCTTTGGGCTTTCCCTTTCGGGCTTCCCCTCGAGGTTTCTAAAACGCGTCTGTTAGGGAGATGTTTCCACACCCTTACATAGAATGTTTCGTTCTCCTCCCCAATCGATGTGGGGATCTGAGTCAAATGTTGTATAAAATCTATTCTCCATTGCTCGTACAAAAGAGAGGTAATCAGCGATTGGTTGAAAGAAGACACCGCAAACTTGGGATATATGTGGATTAGTACGAAGTTGGAAGGTGTGTTTCTTAATCAAAATGAGGATAACTCGATGTGGAACTTAAAACATAACCTTTGCTGACAAATGAACTGGACCCAGGCAGAGTACATAGTTTCTTCTGCTGACGCCTCTCATGAGCATCCTTATGTATTTACACACCGATATACATTTTGAAAAACGATGATTTGGTGGTTGACAGGTTTACCATATTAAAATTAGTTGTGAATCAAAGATGCGGAGAAAAGATCATGAAAAGGTTATTTGTAAGCCAATATAAACTAAGTTACTCTAAGATTTCCCAAGGTACAAAAAGACCCTGCAAATCATGGAAACGAGAATAAACCAGAAATTAAATAAACAATCAGGGAGATATGTATGTGTTCCAATAGTTTGTTGATTTTCCCATTCATGTTGAAAAGTAGAGTAGACGAATACATTCATCTCTAGACACAGACCCAAGCACATCAAAATTTCCCCAAAGAGGCATATCCCCTCACCAAAGAAAGGAAAAATCTAAAGGAGGCAAAATTTCTCCATTGAAGTTTGAAAAGAACTATTCAGTTCTGACTCCAATGCATAAACTAGTTGTAAGTGATTGGTTGCATCAATATATGCATACACACACACACATATTAATTGATTTCAAGATAAATCTGTACTCGTGTAGCACCGAGTTTTATCTAGCTCAAAGTAAAACTTGATACAATTAGAATAATAGCATATAGATGTTTTGAAAACGCACAATTCCGAACGGTGTGTTAAGATGCTTAAACTCTCCTACTTCTCAACTCTTTTTCACAACTCCTAGCAAGTCATTCAAAATGTACGACAAAGGAAAAGGGAGAGACTGATTATAGATGCTTCACGGCCATACTTTAGTAATTAGGGAAACTTCGGTATAGTCTTCCACCACCTCTACACTTTATCATCAGCCACTAAATGTCATAGGGAAAGAACAAGAAACCTGAATGTTTAATTGTTGAAAAGGAATTCTGATCTTGCCAGCGTGCTTACTCTCTTAGGAAAAGTGTTAGCCCTTTTCCCAAAAGAGTATGATTTGGGAAATTGGTCCTTATAGGAAATGGGGTTCCTTCACATGCAAATCTTTTGTGCAATATATTGCTATATAAAGCCATGGAAAGTTTCATCTTTCGAATCCAAATCACAAGTGTTTGGACTTTTGTAAGCCATGGCCCAAAGGAAGAACAAAGTCTTTTACTTTCCAAATAAGAGAAAATAGGGTTTATCCAACCTGCCTTCTCTACTGATCAGCTGGAGAGCGGCAGATTTGCAAGGAAACAAGCCAAATATCTCAAAACTTCCCACAAAATTTGTCCTTACTAAGATTTAGATGGCTGCTTTTCATCTTTTGAATGAGGATCAACCATACTTCTGGTTCTCTATCACAAGGGCCCCTTCTGAGCTGAAAATCCCGTGTTTAGACTGCCCCATTCCAAAAATCTCTTATAAGAAAGTCTTCAGCATTCGAAATAGAGAAGGTATTTGGAAAATGTGGCTAAGACGAGAAGGATCGAGCCAGGCGTTTGCCCAAAATTAATGACTCAGACCATTGCCATTCTTCAAGAAAACAATATGATCAAAGAAATCTTTTGTTTTACCAATGTCAATTCTAGGATCTAAGTTTCTCCAAAGGTTGCCGATCCCAATTTGACTCTTGATTAAGCCTCTTCTAAGGGCGTTCTTTTCACACAAGAATATGAACATAGCACATCCACTTTGAGAGGAGAACGGTGTTTCTAGTTCTCAGATTACCAACAACCAAGCCACCTAAGGAAATAAGAGGACCAGCTCAGTTCCATGTAACAAGGAAAACTAACTCCCAAACAATCGGTTCTTGCTTGTTTCAAATTATTTTCATCATTCATTTCTAATGATAACTCACTCTACATTACACGAGTATTGCTATATATTATGAATATTTTGTTCGAATTGCAGAATGAAAATGAACCTGAATCTCATATTCCACATCTTCACCAACTACACTGTACAAAAAAATCATACCTCAGAGAGCCGCCGGAGGAATTAATGAAGAGTCTGATATCCTTAGTAGAATCCTGAGCATCCAAGAGTAAGAGCTGGCTGATAATAGCATCGGCCACAAAGTCATCAATGTTGTTCCCCAAGAAAACGATCCTCTCTCTGAGAAGCAGTCCCATGGCATCAGTCTCGGCGCCAGTCCGGGCGGAATCCGGCGTCTGTGGAGTCGTCATAAGGACAGAGCACGGCGGAGCTAGGGTTCTGGAGGGTTTAAGAGCGGTTGCTTTGAGGACTGATGAAGACGAAGGAAATGAGAGGCTGGATTTGCGTTTGGGATAGAAAACCGAAGATTTTCCATGAGAATTCGGAAGACTGAGAGTGGAGGCGTGAGGAACAAGAGTAGAACACCGTGAAAGAAGCTCCATGGATTTACAGCTCTGCTCTGCTTCAACTCTGAAACCAGGAAGAAGCAGAGAGATGACGACTTTCGGGGATTTTGTTAGGTGAAAAAAAAAAACCTAAATTAATTAAAATTAAGTTTAAAAATATAACTGAAATTTCAAAATTTTATTAATATATTTATTAAAAAAACCATTAAAAAAATAATAAAAATCTTTAGTTTAAAACTAACCGAGCCAGCTCAACTCTAAGCTAGAGCTAGAAATGTTCATTTAACCTTTGTCTTGTCTCGATTCCTGTGTCTTGTTTCTACTGCATTCTATCTTATCGTATCAAATTATGTTCTGCAATATTTGAAAATCATCGTCAATATCTCGGTGTAGGTCCGAGATAATCCTTTGTTCCACAGTCTGGGTCTATTTACAACTAGCAAATTAAGAATTCTCAGATGTACTAGTACAGGCAAGTGCATCTTTGATGCAGTCATCGATTATCCCGAGAGGTCACAATTACCTCGAACAAGCATATTACTGACCAAGAACACATTTTTGTTATTCTACTAATACTTGTACTTGCTCTACTATTATGCCGAAGCCTGGCTGAGAAAGAATTACAGGGCGTAAAACAAAAAAAATATCCTGATTCAAGTTGGGTAAGAGATTAATCGAGAGTAATTGAAAAAATGGGAAAGAGAACTGAAAGAAATTTCTTTCTATTGGTTGGAGGGCGATTATATATATATATAGTAATAAAATTTATAAAATTTAAATTTTTAGAAAATATGTTAAATATTATATTATATTTTTGTTTACTAAACATTATTAAATTTATTATAATGTTTTACATTTTTTTAATAGAGATTTTCAATTAAAGGTTTATTTGGAATAATTCTTTTTAAAAAATATCTTAAACATCGGAGGAATTTTCTACCTCAAATCATGTGAAAATAAATGAAAATTTTCACAATGATGAAAATTGAAATAGGAGTCGGGACGAGGAACCGTCTTGCCATGTGAACATCTCTAGCTAGAGGGCCCCTTGATCTGACGTTTAATTTTGTTCATGCTCTTTCCTTTAATTCGGTAGTGGAAGAAGATATTAATTTTAGAAATATTATTGAAAAAAAATTATAATTTAAGAGTATTTTCTATAATTTAATATTCAGTCATATACATATATATATATATACACAAATATTTTTACATTATATTAAAATTAATATTATTTTAAAAAAATAGATTCGAAATTGGGTAAAAATATATGAATATTGACTATAATAAATATGGTAACAAATAACTTAAAATAATAAAATAATTTTTGCTTACACAGCAAGCTTTGAACAAGTTCATTTAAATGGAAAGCGCGCTGTCACCCATATTCGTCACAGCGCCGTTACCCCAGCAAACGCGCACACATTTTGACTCCGACGAAATTACATTACAATTTCAAAGTTGCTCTTTTTTTATTATTATTATTATTATTATTATTATTTTAGAATTATTGTAAGTTGCAATTAAATTTCTCACAATAAAATATTCCAATTCAATCTTCTGTCTAATTTTTTAATAATTATTTTAGTTTTAATTTTTTTTTAAAAATACTAATTTATCTTCTAATTAAAAATATTATCATTTTTGTCTGCTTTGCCCATTACGTATCGCATCAGCTTCGAGGTTTCCACACCCTTATCGTTTTCCTCCCCGACCAATGTTTGATCTCACCCCTTGGGGGATCAGTGTCCTCGCTAGCATACCGCTCCGCTCAAGCCCACTGCTAGCAAATCTTGTCTGTTTTGGCCCGTTACATATGTTGTCAGCCTCACAGTTTTAAAATGTGTGATTTCCACATCTTTGTAAGAAATGTTTCGTTTCCCTTTCCAACCAATGTGGGATCTCACAATTTTAGTCGTTATTTATCACATGATATCAGTTTACACGATAAATCCTTAACTTACCTATATGGGTAACCTCAATAATTGTATTTTTTAATATTTTTTCTTAAAAATATGGTGTTATAAAATATTTTAAAATTAAAAAATATTATTGAAAAAACTCGTAATTTAATAATAATAATAAAAAAAAAAATAAGAAAAGGTAATGGTTGTTTTTGTCTAGGAATTCTCCTACATATTTCCCATTTCTATAACAATTTGGTTCAAACATGACGCTGACCTGTAATGATTTGATTGGAAAGCTCCAATATTTTTTATTTTAAAAAAATAAAATGAAAACCCGATTGGACTCGGCTATATAAATTCAGCTTCCTTGTTTTGGCTCTTCGCATTTTTCATTTGCGTGTCCAAAACAGTTACAAAAATGGCACAGAAGAAATCGCCATTGCTATTCCGCCTGAAGAAGTCCGCGATAAAACTCACTGCGTTCCTCCGCCTCTGCGTCGCTCGTCGACAAAATTCACGACGGCTGCGATCATTCGGTTCCGACGATCGGACGGTAGGGCTACGGAGTTTCCTAGAAGATGAGAGAATAGTTGAGAACCGTTCCGTCAGAAAGCTTGAGCGTGCTTCGAGTTCAAGCTATGTAAATTTTGAAGATGATGTCGATAAGCGATCTCAGATTTTTATCGATAAATTTCTCCGTCAATTGAGGTTAGAACGACAAATTTCTTTGCAATTAAGATACTGTAGAGTCAATAGCTCTGAAACGGAATCTGAAGAGAAATCGCCGCCGTATCCGTCGATTCGATGAACGAATTTCTTTTTGAAATGGAAGGGAATTTCTGTGTTGTTGAGTAATGTAATGAAGTTTGGAGGATTCGATTGAAGAGAAACAGGAGAAATTCGGAGGAGACTGCGGATTTCGGTAAAATTGATTTGTTGTTTGCGTTCCCTTCTTGTGGAAGTTTCTTGTCAATTCATCGCTTCAGAAGACTTTGATTCCAGATTTGTATTTGTTTGAGGAAATTGTTACTGTGTAGAATTAATATTTTTCGTCTCATCATCTGCAAGTAATGTCAAATTCTTGATGGATTGAGGTTCTCTGTTTTATTGGATTATCAGTAAAACTTTATGAACAAATGGAGCATCATAATTATTTTTTTCCAGGATATAATAATAATAATAGTTCTGCGTGTTTTTTAATTTAGTCTCCATCTTATTATGATAATTTTATTAGTTTATTATATTTTACATTTTTCAATTGTATCTTCGTCTTACTAATACTCAAAGCTGTCTCATACTAAATTTTCATGACATTATATTCATATGGTAAAGTTTTAATTTGTATCCCTAATTTATATTAATTTTTACCTTAAATATTTAATTTCATCCAATTTTATTATAGATCTTCTACCTTCTTTCAATTCAAGTTCTATAATTAAAAGTATATGAAGTATGCATAAGTTGCTATATTTTCATGCTCAAATTATGTATTTTTAAGGTGCATTTTAATGTAGTGAGAAAACTTTTGTTTTTTTTTTTTGCGCTCTTATTTATTAAATTTTAAAGATTTTATTAGATGATTTGATTTGTAAATTTATCATCGCCCAATTACAATAGTAAAAATATAATAATAATTAATTTAAGTATAATTTAATAGATAAGATATCAATTATTATTTTAAAGGTAGATCGTTCGATCTACGTAAATGTAATTGTTGCACCATATAAGACACAAGTATGATAGTATTATTTCAAAATTTTAAAATTTTAAAATAAAAATTATTATTATTTTATCTAAAAAGAAGTTATTATTATTAGTTTTTAATAATTAAAATCATTGAAAAATAATTCAACAAAACTAAAATATATATTAAACCATAACAAGGCCCATTGGGCCTTGTCGATCAAAGATCATGGGCTTTCGCAATTTCTATGATGGGCCTGCTTGGACTAAAGCCCATTTTCACTTTTCTTTCTTACAAGAATTGGTAATGGACGGGTTGGGTTGGTCGGATCGGATGAGACTTTTATTCAGAACTAATTTAATTATTTATGTTTTTTTAATTCATTAATAAAATCTTTATTAAGTAAGATGTTATTTGTATTCAAACATTTTATTAAGGTTTATGGCTCAATTTAATAGTTAAAAATCATTTTTAAATTTTGTTGGAGGATAAATAATATAAAATAATTTATAAAATAAAACAAAATAAATTGGAGTAAGTTCGATCTAAAATAATTTAGACATATAATTGTATGGTAAGTAAATTATTTTATTTTTAAATTAACAATAAATTTGAGTGAACTTATTGTTCAATTATTACTTGTGATTAATTTTAATGAATAAATTAACGAAAGGTTGTTCAAGAATTAAAATATCATATATTTTTAAGTATTTAATACATTTTTAAACTGTTAATCGTGACATATTTAAAAAATTAAAAAATATTTAATCTTTTATATTATAATATTAATTTTTCTGTTAGAACATTTGTGAATTAAAAAAGTGTTAAATATATTAATGATTTATTATTAGCAAAATTTAAAATTTAAGAATATATTAAAGAGAGGATTAAAACTATATTTTAATGATTTTTTTTTCCTAACTTTGCCAAGATGGGGCTATGGACACGTGTCGAGATCGTAAGGTCTGATTGGAATATCCAATGCTTTGAGATCATCGAAATAATAAATAAATAATTGGACCCACGAAGGGTACCGTAATAGCTAATCGGGAGAATGTGCCGAGGTCCACCGTATGGGGCCCACTGTGTTCGACGATTTATTGCTTATTTTATTTTATTTTTATTTTTTTTAAGATAAATTACTCGGCGATTTTTATCTGTTCCTCTTCCTTCGCTCGTGTATAAATATACGCTCCACACTCATCTTCTTCCTAGTTAGTGTTTCGTAACTGTAATCGAGCTTCAAGCGTGTAGGAACAAAGAAGAATCGCCATGGGTTTGAAGGTATGTTCGTTCTCTTATTGTTCTTCTCCAATCTGAAGTTTATTAGCTTATTAGCTTCGATTTTTTTGATCTCTATCTCTTCCTGGACATTTCTTGTTCGATCAGTAGTTGAATTTTTGTTGTTTTGTGTACGTGATTCGGTGTTGAACGATTATGCTTTAAGTTTTGCTTTCTGATCTTGACATTGAATTAAGGAATGGCTACAGATCACTGCAAGTTTTCTGTTTGGTGTCATAGTCACGCATTTTCAGTATAATTGATTGGTTAGCGTTCGTTGCTTTCTGTTTAATTTATCTTTTCGGATCTGTTTTTTGAGTCGATTTACGTAGTCCTCTCGAAGTATGAACGATATCTGATGGTTTCCAGATCGCCGGCCGTGAAAATCTACTTCCTGTCGAGATTAACTTACAACTCCACTAACCTAAGCTTACCAGATAAACACATAGGTGTGAAAGCTCAGGGACTAAACTTTAGACATGATGTTTCTCCTTGCATACTTATGGGATAAATATTGTACTACTTCCTTCTCTCTCTGTTAATTGTTCTTCGTGGTTGAATTTACATGGCCGTACTTTGACGCCGGCGGCCTTAATCACGTCAGGTTGAAACTTAGATCCGAGGTTGGAAATGACATCACGGTCGTTTCCATCTCCGCCATTTCTCATTTTTCCGAGAAATGTGAAATGAAAAAGCAAAAGTGGTCTTCCAATGAGAATATTCCACTCAACGACTTTCAGTAATTGGCGAATTCGATCGAGTATCACGGAGACTGTAGTAAAGTAATTTCGCAGTTATTAGAATGCTGATTCGATTTTATTCCAAATTGATAAATTTATTGCTTGAAGTTGTGCATGAACTCTGGATTAGACTAACAGGACCCTAGATGTTAGAGCAGTAGGTGCAGAGAATTGTAAGAACAAATGGTATCTTTCTGGTGTTCGTTCTAGGTAGTATGAATCTAAATGCATGTAGTCTGTGCCACAATTTGATGAGGCTGAGTTCTGCAGGAAGAATTTGAGGAGTATGCTGAAAAGGCAAAGACCTTGCCGGAGAACACAAGCAATGAAAACAAACTCATTCTCTATGGACTATACAAGCAAGCCACTGTTGGAGCCGTGAACACTAGTCAGTTCTTTTTTCCACTCGAATGCAATTTCTGTAGAAACGCTGTGTGTAGTTGGAATTATGTGATCAAACCCTCCAATTAAACCGTTTATTGCAATTATGACTGATTTGTAGGCCGCCCTGGAGTGTTCTACCAGAGGGACAGAGCCAAATGGGATGCCTGGAAGGCCGTTGAAGGTAATGTTTTAGTATGTTTATATAGAACATTTTTGCTAGTTTTTCTATAGGCGGCAAACCTTTACTCTTAAGTTGGGGGGGAGCTTGGTTGTGAAACTAAGAATTTACCAGAATTGAGCTTTGATCGAAGAGACTGAAATAATTTTGCAGCAAAATCCAAGGATGATGCAATGAGCGACTATATCACCAAGGTGAAACAGTTGCAAGAGTCAGCTGCAGCTAACTGATGAGCTTTAATTATCTGTATGGACAATGATGCTCAAATAATTCTTGTTTAAGTTCAGTACCTTAATCGTATGTATCTAAATTCTGCGACAATGAACCATTTGTTAGTATCTGATGTCCTTAAAAGCAAATCCAGATATCTGATGTCCTTAAAAGCAGGACAATGTGAACTTGCTTGGGTGTCTTTGTCCTTTCGAACGTCAAATTTGTAATAATTTAGCTATTGAACCTAATACCAATTTAGTTTTACACTTCAAAATTTCTAACAATTTGATCATTGCCTTGAAAAATCTCATCAAATTTTGTGGATTCTTCTCTATTTGAAGATCCCAAATCTTTTGGGTTGCTTTTTCCCATCAAGATTGGTTTCATTTCTTTATGTTATTTGTACCGTAACTGGTTTATGGATAAGTGCTCTTGGAGTAGTTGGTTTGTTCATACAGTGGAAGATCCTGAATTTGAGACTTTTTATACCGTTCTTGTGGAATGGCCACATATGAGGCTAAGACAAGGGCCGGACTTATTAGCCCTATTCTTGTTCAAAATTCTCTTTTAACTTATACTTGATTGGAGGACGAAAGTGCGAAGAACTTGATTTTTTAGTTTGGTTTAAGATCGATGGAAATAATATTCTACCTGAGCAATTCATTTATTTTTAATTGAACTCGTTTACTATATTTTTAACCCTTTTGAGCTTATTCATAACAACAAATACACATTTACACTAAGGATTTGGACAGCCTCTCCTGCATATGATGCATTTATAGCTGACAGCTTACAAAGCCACAGAGGTAGAAAAGGATCAAACAGAACTCTCCTAATCACATGAAATAAACAAGAAACTTCAAACACTATTGCCCACACCAAGGAAAAAAGTTCTGATTTTCAGCCTACTTGGCCTTAATTTCGTACCCTTTTTAACATCTTTTCCAATTAACTTTTTGTCATCACATCTGCTTCTTTCAGGTGGCTAAGGAGCAGCATGATCAGGTATATCTAGTAAATCCTCCTTCCTTGCGTTCTTCTTCTTCTCTAGCAACTAATTTCTCTCTGATTCAGGTACAGCCATGACTGAAGAATACAACTTCAGGCTCATTTCGTCCATCGTGTTGCCGAGTTGATCGTACTCGTTAACATTCCAAGCATCACAGCCCGTAAGGTTTCCCGACTTTCGATCAATGGTAAGAAAATAATTATAGCAGAACCTATTGTTCCCCATGCTATTGCTATTACAGCCCAAAGTGTGAAATATTTCTTGTTAAACTCTCCTGCACAATAGAGAAACACACAAAGTAATCCACCATTATTTTCTTAGTGTTCTTCAAGAGTATGAACAAGATGAAAGGAAATTACCTATTGGAAGAGATAAAAGAGGCCATAGTATGACAATTACTATGGTAAATCCAACGCCCCATTTCACTATCCATGCTTTTGCTTTCATCAATTTTTCCTCCTTGTACTCTTCTGATGGGATTTCACCGTTGTCCTTTTCAACAGTTGAAATCTCCCTAGTGGTCTCCCAGTCATAGTTTTGAGGTGATAACAGGCTAGATATGGCGTGAATAATCCCTCCTGAAAGTATAGAGACAAGATTCCCAGCAAGCATAGGTGCATTTCTACCTGTAGTATCCAAGTTAACCTCGCCATACTCGATCTTCGTGACCGAGATCCATGTTATGACTCCAAGAACACAGCCGATGGTCGTTCCAAGAATTGCTCCGTTCGAATTCGCTTTACTCCACAGAAGCATAAAGGCTATAGGAATAACTGCTGAACCAATGAACACTCCCATAGCTAGATACATCCATCCCAATGAAACTCCAGCCTTGTTAAGAACTATTGCCAGCAGCCCCATGAAACATCCAAACACTAGAATAACAGCTCTTGATACTTTTAGGATGCTCTTTCCGCTAGCATTAGGATTCACGTACGTTCGGTAGATATCGTACGTGCACAAGGACGATACACTTATTAACTCGGATGAACCAGCAGAAGTTACAGCCCTGTTGATAGTTAGTTTAACGAGATTAGCTTTCGGTTTCCCGTTTGCTTGAAATGAATCTTTCTTCCTCTTAACTTACATAAAAAGCATGACAAGGAGAAGAACAGATCCTCCTTTTCCCATCAAAGCTATAGCAGTGGCAGGGGGCACAAGTCCTCGGCTAGCCTCATCTGTAGTTATTGGTAGATCAAGGGCAAGTGCGCCTAAACCAAGTGAAGTTGCTAAAGAGAATGGAACTGCAAACCAGACCAAACCTCCCACCAAATATCCCTTGTGAGTTGATGATGGCCTTGCAGCTATTGCACTCATCCAATATCCCTGAAATTTACACCATTTAGGATCCTCCTCAGATCAAGTAGACAAAAGTGATTACTTAAGTTGAAACTCGATGGAGATAACTAAACATCGTTCTATGAAAATCTCACATTGTCAACAAAAACAGTACCGAAGTTGCCTACGATATTAATAATCCCGAAAACAAGCCCTCCTGAGCTCAACAATGTTGCATAAGAGCCTTTGAAGTTCCCAGAAACAGGGCCACAAGATTGGCCATCATGGGAAATTGGTTCCTGGCACATTCTGGCTTTGCTAGCCACCTCCATCAAATGATCATATACAACACTGGGGCTGCCGAGCTGGCTGCTCGATGTATAAACGAGGAACACGAATATGACCAGAATAACATGAACTGCAACAAAATGGAAACCGTACCAACATCAACAAGAAGTTAATAATAGGGAGCCTTGACTAGAAAGGAATACCTATCACAGAATGGATATAGCTAGCCAAGAAAGTGGCTTTCAATCCTCCAGCCAGTGTGTATACGATAACTCCGAGCGGTATAAGAAAGCTTGCAGCAAAAATGTTCACTCCGGTGAGCGCATTGACCACCGCTGAACCGCCAAGAAGCAACATGGCTGTTACTAGGATGTTTGTCATGAAGCAGAAAACAAGGAAGACTATATGTGCAGGAGTTCCCCAACTGATAGGAACCACACAGAAACATAGCCAAATAAGAGGCATGGCCAAAGGAGCAGAACAAAAACTTATAGAACAACGTGTAGATGGAATTTCCTAACTTACCGAGCTCTTACAATTTCACAAACTGTGTGAGCATTTGGGGCTTTCCTTTTGATCTCTATAGCCATTATTCCGAATAGAAGAACCTGAATCATTTGTAAATGCACTCATTTCTCCACTAACACACTACACTATATATCTATATATCTATCTATATCTCAAGCCCACTACTAGTAGATATTGTCCTTTTTGGAGTTTCTCTTTCAGGCTTCTCCTCAAGGTTTTAAAATGCAGTCTACTAGGAAGAGGTTTCCACACCCTTATAAGGAATGCTTCGTTCCCCTCCTAGTGTCTTTGTTGGCACACCGTCTGGTATCTGGCTCTGATACCATTTGTAACAACTAAAGCCCACTGCTAGTAGATATTGTTTGTTTCAGCCCGTTACGTATCACCGTCAACCTCACAGTTTTAAAACGCATTTACTATGGAGAGGATCTAGCCCTACTTCGACCAGTGCCTCACACCGTCCGGTGACTGGTTGAAAGAGAGCCTAAAGAAACAATATTTGCCAACTCATAAGCTAGAAACTTGGGGATGAACTTGCCTGAATGGTAGCCCCACTAGCATACCAGAATGGTCCACTGACTCCATACTCCCAAGCAACATTGGAGCTCTGTAAAATGGTGGCAGCCCATGTCCACTGCATAAACAAACAAACCACTCATATCCAGCCAAACCAAGCCACCCCCAAACTCAAACCACAAACATAAGAATCTGCCAAAGTTACCTGAGACACAATCACACTAGCAATTAGCCCCGTCTTCACACTCCTGCCTGCTGTGTTGAACCATTCTGATGTCTTCTTACTTCCTATGTACCGATTCTCCAGCCATACCTGGACCACCCCGTTGTCAACAATTTAGTCTCTGAACTTTAGTTTATAACAATTTAGTTCATTTCGTATGTAATTACTTCTTAGATGAACAAGGAGTAACAATCAGGGCTCAAAGAAGAGGAGGGCTAAGAATTGGAGTGGAAAGTGAGGAAGCTAACCAAGAAAGATGTGAAGACAGCGAAAAAAGCTCCAAAGCCAAGAATAACAGAATAGCCAATGCCCTGATCAAGAACAGCCTGGCCGTTGAAGAAGCTGCTCTGCCGCACACAGCCGGCAGCCTTCGCTTGGTAGTACTTGCCGGCGAAGTCAAATGGTGGGCACTTAGGCACAGAAGCAGCCATGGTTATTGAACCAATTGAATCGCTTGATAACTACCGCTAGTTAATGGCCTTAAACTCTTCAGCAGCTAAAGTGGACTTCAGTGAAGTTGACTTGCCAGACCTGTGAAAGAGAAGGCAAAGAAATGAGAAAAGTCTTTCATGTACTGTTCACAATTTGAAATATCTTTTTTGTTCGTATCAGTTACGAGTTCAAAAGTTCGAATCTCTAGTCCCTACGAGTTTAAATCATGAACTCGAAACTGAAGAACCCGAACTCGAAGTTTGGCCCTTTCTTCCTTCTTCTTCTTCTTCTTCTTCTTCTTCTTCTTATATAATTTGCTACTGAGAACTGTTCTTGAGTTGAAAATCTTTGATGCAGATACTTATGGACAACTTGCAAGATGCAGCTCAGTCAAACAAGGCAGGAATCTTTTGGAGGTGGGCCAATTGGTATCTTTCTTGATGACATCAATTGAATATTATAAGAGGTAATTTTGCATTTGGATCTTGATTAAGAACTTGTTGAGGCAATTAATTATAATGGTTGCCATATTTAAACAACGTATGCAGTGAACTGATGAAGAAAGCTCTTAAATAGTTGAATTGTGTGCAAATTTAAACTGAGAAAGAACAATAAAATGCTAAACCAAGCTGCCAGCCAGTCGAAGTTCGTAATAAATTCAGTTGGCGACAGATCATAATTAAGATGCTAACTATTGATTATTTGGTGGCCTAAAAATGAATTAACACCTTAGTAACCAAGTTAGTTTTCAGTTGTAATTCATATATAATTCTTATATATTGTTTCTCGAGGAAGTCGAGTGAAAATTATTAGGGATGTATATGGGTCGGAATTTTTTTTTTTTGGACCAGCTTGAAATTTCGGGGTTGATTGGGTTAGTGTGTATAGAGTTCGCAACTCAACCCAACCCTCAAGTTGGGTTGGGACATCGAGTTGTTCAACTTTTTTTAATAATTTTAAAAATTTTACTTATTTATACTTCTTTAAAGTTATTATGCATCGTTATCATTTGTTACAAATGTCAAATATTCTTAATTTTTGTGACACTCTTAAAAATTGGGTTAGATAGGGTTGAGTTGGGCTGGGTTGGGTTGTAAACCTTTTTTTTTGGGTTGCTCGGGTTGACCCAATCAAAAAGGTCTTAACCCTCAAATTAATTGTTGTAGTCGTTGAATCGTATGAATATCATTAAAAATTATAAGAAAATTTTATTAATTTTATTGAAACGTTGGATGTCGACTAAAATTTATTTAATTATTTACAAACTTGTGACAATTTGTTGTTGTACTGTATGTTGAAAGGTTGCTCCATATCATTGTTGTGTAATAATAGCAAACCAACAAAGAAATTTGTTTCAAAAACCAAAAATTTGAATCGAGATGATGTTAAGAAATTCAATAACATTAATATGTAATGTTTTTATATTTAGAATTTTGGTCTCTCATATTCTTGTGCTTTAATTGTTGCAAGTTTTTTTTTATGGTTATTTAATAAAAGCATGATATTAATTTCAATATAATGTAAAACATCGATCTCCTATATTATTAAGGAAAAAAAATTATGTTTAAAAAATAAACTTTGAAAGTGGTACTAAATATAAATATATTTTTTATTTTTTAAATTGAAGTTTTAAAAAAAATTTAAGAGTATTAATGAAATTTTTTAATTTTTTGGATTTTGATTTGTCTTCTACACGTATCTTTTTATATATATATATATATGTATCTTAAAATTTTAATTTAATTTTTAATATGAAAATCAAAATACATATTTTGAAAATATCTTAGAGTATTAATATTTTGAAAAAACTAAATCAAAATTAATGGCTTGAATTTTGTTATTTTACAATCAAATTATCGAAATATTACGTCTCTTCTTTATACTTTTAATTTCGTTTCAATTTATGTATCTTTAAATATTTAAATGTAGATTCTCTATTTTTGATAAATTTTAAAATAGTATTTAATTTTTCATATTGAAATTAGTTTAAAAAACAAAAATATTTTTTATAAAAGAAAAAATATAAGGTAAACCTATTTCAAAATTGATAAATTAGTGTAACTTATTTCTAATTTGAATCTGTTATAAAATACATGATATTCGTAATCTTGAAAAATATATTAGTTAAGAAATATATCTTTTGAACACTAGTATATTTTATTTTATTTTCAAAATTTAGTTAATTTATATTTCCGTATTAGTTGGTATTTGGATCTATTTAAAGGTTGTGAATATAAATGAAGATGGAATCTTCTATTTCAATTCTATTTCTCATTAATAATATTTTCATATCTATTCATACTTTTAAGCTCATTAATAATATTTTCATATCTATTCATACTTTTGAGTGGTAGATATTACGTAAATTACATTTTAATTTGGAAACGAAATTCAAAATAAAATATCAAAACAATATATTTAAAAAAACAAAAAAAATTTTTTTTAAGTAAATTGAAACGTAAAACAGTAAGTAGCCGTTAAAAAAAGGAAAGAAATAAGAAGAAAAAAAAAAGATTAAATAACAAAAAAAAAAAAAAAAAAAAAAAAA